GTACTATATGTTAATATTTTAAAATATTTTCTAAAGAATGTAGGCAGTCAGTAATTTTTATATATGACACACTAAAATCATATTGCATTTCATATGTTGCTGTATCACAATTATATTGCTTTCAATTAAAGCATAGTTGCCAAATAATATTAATTTCAGTATTAACATTGGTTGGTTGGATGGGTTGTTAGGTAGTAAGTGAAAATAAAACAACTGGTTTATTGTTTGAACAATGTCCATATTATATTTATTACCACATACACACGGCACGATGTGAACCTTGTCTTAAATCATTGTATTATATAAGGTATATGTACATTGCACAATGTGTATACATACATCGCCATACACGCGCGCCCCGAAGGGCTGTATGATTATATATCTCATAGTATTATGTACGTTATATAATGTAATATTCCAATAAGAAAGTGCATTGGTGCACGAAATCGGGGCGGCGGACATAACCACCGCTTTTTACAAAACGTTTTGATATTACCATTATTTTAATAAAGAGATGCCGTAAAAACTAATTTTATTCATCATTACGATTTATATCCATATTGTATACAGATTCATGTAACATATTATACACGAAGAAATGACGAAAATAATGCGCCGACGCCGCGACGGGACACGTCGCGGATCGCTCGCCTATCGTTATCTCCTTTTCTCTAAAATTTTAAATGTACATGACACCAAATTCGAACGTATATAAATCCAAATTTATTTTAATGTAAAATCTTAGGTAATTGATTTTTATTGCTATAGAAAATCAGTCAGCACGCGAAGCACGCAATCGAGAAGTAACCGCGAGAACGAAACCAAGCGGGCGGCGTTGCGCGGGGTCGGGATGGGTGCCGGGAGTGGGACGGGGGTGCGCGATCCTCACTGCACTCACTGCTGACGACCGATCGGCTGGCTCGGTTCGTGCGGAGCCAATGCGCCTCCGGTTCTACGCGAATAAGTATACCTTTGGTCCAAGAAACTTTTAGTTGGCCATCGCCGAATATGCAAAGCTACAAGATCTATGGCCGCCGCGGCGACTCTACGAACTTTACCAGTCTGTCACGTTATTAGATTAAAATTAATTATTATCTTTAACAATATAAAGTAGATAGAGTTTAAATTAAAGTAGAATGTTACACAAAATATCATAAATTATCTTTTTAATTTTATTATATATATACATATAAATATACGATAGGTCACAATAATTAGGATTACATAAAGAATTTTTAAAATAAATTTGAGATCTCGCTTATTATTTACGTAGTCTTTATTCTGATATAGAACACATGTCTAAATGGTGACTGAAGTAATTGAACTATCGCGTATACAAACAAGCGAGAAGGAAAAACCAAGACGTCCTAGGTGACAGAGCGGCAACAAAGGAGTGCCCGCGACGGTGCTGCGTGGCGGTCGCGAGGCTGCCGCGCGGTTACCGCGGACGGGTCGGACATGAACTGGCTCTCCGCTACGGTCCATATTTACTAACGCCATTATGGTGATAAGTCGAAACGGTATGTTAGCAGTATAAAAAAAATATATATTCCATAACATTAAAATAAAACGAATATTAATTGATAAAACTTAAAATTGAATGTTGATATGACACAACATTTGGATCTGTTTATGTATACTAATTTGAAAACGGCGTTACATGGTCCGAAAGCAGAAGCCCTAAGGGTGACACTAACGAAACTTACAAACCGTTAAAACAAAGCGTAACAACAACAATGAAACTAATATTCGTCAGCTTATCTTGATTGCAGCTCGAATGAATCTAATATCGACCAGATGGTATAAACTGAGTGCGCCGCCAAACTATCATGGTCCATTTTTAAAGACGCTCCATCGTCGGCGTTTTAATGCTCATGGAATTATCCGCGTATAGGTTGAAATAAAACAATAGAAATTCTGCCTTTTTACTTAAATTAGTGACCAAAGCAGAATTATTTAGTGATGTTAAAAATAGCGTATAATAGTTTGGTGCTACACTGTCAGCTCGCTGGTCACGCGGTGTAGGCCGCCAAACACTGCGGCATAACTGTCGCATACAATAACGCGCCACTTGTGGCGTCTACCTAAAAGTATTTTTACACATGCGGCTAACTATGTATATACAATAATTGTCATTATGTATCGTCTCGATGCAATCGCGGCGAACCGATGGCTTCTCACGAACGCGGCTAAACGAACGTCTCTCACTATATGTTTGTTTGTATGTTTGTACTCGTACTCGCACGGGGACAAGCGGCCGTGTGCGCTTCTCCTACATTAAAAAGGTTGGTAAGAAAATATAATTATAGTGAGGATGTGAGAGTGAATGAGACGGCCGACGGCGAGGGGGTGCGCGCGCGCCTCTTCGCCGCCGGCCCGGGCCTAACAATTATAACATCTCATCGTAATAATTAAATATTCTAAGAAAAAATGTCTTAAATACCTATAACACCGTAAATATAAAACAAATAATTACGTTAATTTGTTAGGTATGATATCGATATTCCGACCGTCCTACAGACTCACACCTTTCGATTTTATTATCAATTTCCTAGCTAACGTTTTAACAACATAATCGCGGTCGCGTCTCTTGCGGTATTTATGCGGCACGGTACGGCGTCGGAGCGGCCGTGACACGGTGCAGCCTCGGCTTGGCACCGGCCGCACGTGACGTCATTTTAGCGAACGAATTCGGCACGAATGAACATAAAACGCGAAGCGAGCGCGCCGCCCGGCGACGAACGCACTCCATCTAACACTCCATTATTCAATTAACTACATACTCATAAGTAATAAATTACATTTAAAAAGAATATTGATTTATTTCGTATCATTTTCAAATTTTTTTTTTGTAACAGGAAACATTTATATTTATAACGTATTAATATAATAATAGCATTTAAAAGATTGTTTATTATTATTACCTAAAATTTAATACCTAGATTTATAATATTAATGTTTAATTGATGTAGGTAATGAGTAATAATAATAGTAAATAACGAATGAATGCAACTGAGTGCATGTTTATGCGAACGAGCGACAAATGCATGCACGGTTTGGGCGTCTAGGAGTCGGACCTAGCACGTAGTGCGTAGCGTGCTATTGCCGTTACGCACTAGCTACGCGCGCAGCCCGCGTAGCTCTCTAATGCTGCCAACTAGACGAAATGATCGATAAAATGTTTTCAGTACCTAACAAATATGATTAATGAATTGACTTCATATTTTTAATCTATTACCTCAAACCTGCGCCTTTGGCTGTAATTTTTAATATCCCTGTCTTTAGTTTATTGAAATGTTTGTGTCGTGGTGTAACTATACTTTTTGTACGAAACGATACTGATTAATTATTTTATTAATATTTTGATTAAAATTTTAAATACAACTAAGTATGGTGTGACCCCTCATAAAAATGGAGCCTCGAATTTTTTCAACAGTGGTCTTATATTACGTTAAATACAATCGTAAGAAACAATGAAATATTTATTACGTAATGCACAAAATTGTTATTAATTATAATTACAATACCTACATTCAAAGGTACAAGATAGAAACGAATTATTATCTTAACGCGATGAGAGATATTCTGAAATGTTCCGACTTAGCTTTCCAAACGTCCTTATGAATCGTAAATATGATCATATTATCCTTAGGATAAAATTTTATACCATAATACATAATATTAGAAAGTATGTATACGCGTAACTAACATAGTCTTATACGGAAGTAATCGAGAAACTTGATCGCTACTGAAACAGAAGAGCTGTTCAAAGAGGTGATTTTATACAATTCGAATTAGGCGAAAATAATTACATTCATAGGTAAAATATGCGTAATATAATTATAGTAGTATCATAATTATGTTAATATTTGACATTAATATTAAAAATAGATAGAATAAAATATGTGTAGTCGTGGACGAGCGGGGGGGCGCACGGCGGTCCCGTTATTGTCATCGACACGGGAGTGCGTACGACGCGGCGCATGCGCGGCGCACGCACACCGCCGCGCGCGTCCCGCGCACACTGGCCCGCGATACACGACAGATGACGCGGCGCACGAGCCTACGCGATACACGGCACGTGCGAAACGTGCTCCACCCTCGGCACGGATACGCTGCCAAACGAACAGGGCCTTCCATAACTACAACACATAAGTCCCGCGCGTCGAAGACAATTTACACCTTACGCTGTAATTAAACTATGAACCATAAAATATTTTAAGATATACCTCCCTGCAATAAAATCGTCTAGATGCACTTTATATAATTATGAAATGTATTTTTTTTTTGTGATTTAATCGTTTATTACTCTGACAACACATCTACGGTACAGTCGAAAGCGAGGAAAATTTGAAAAAATACCTGTTCAATCGATAGACTATCTCTCGTTTACACGACAAAAAGTAGATTATCGTTATTTACAATAGACGGGGTCTCCTAATGACCAGGTCGGGAGAATGGTTGAAGATTGGAGTGACGAGGAATAATGTAGGGGATATTCAGGATCAGGATGAGGAGAAAGGGGTGGGGTGAGGATTACAGTGTGTGTGAGACGCCGCGGTCGACGAAATGGTCGGCACGTTGACCGGACGGATGAGGCTCCGTCGTGGGTGGCGCGGGGGCGGCTGGTGTACGCGGCGCGGGCGACGGCACCGGAAACAGCGCCTACGCCGATTGAATTGTGCTCAGGGACGCTATGCGCCGCCACACCGCTCGCCACCTGTATCGTCAATCATATTTAATTTAATTGACAACTCTTATTCAGGGGCTATATTAACGGTTCCCTAAAATTGAAAAAGCAATAAAACATTTAGGTTTATATCTTACACCTATGAAATCATTAAAAACATTTTGTACATTTGTACTGTTTAATTTCCGCAGTGCTATGAATGTACAAGCGATCGTTTTTATTTAGCGTAACGACATTTTAATAGAGTGGAACGCTGAAGCATATTAAAAACGCCGTAATACTTACGTAAAATATTTGTGCTAAAACACTTTCAATGATATCCGTTGGTAAAAGCCGCAGGAATCAAGGGTCCCTGAAATGAGAAACATAAATCAGTCAGTATTAGATGATGGTATGTATTACAAAAAATTATTAACATGTGGTCAACTTTATAATTGAATGAAGGCATAAAACATTCAACTGAACATTAACCTCTCCGGGGGCAGATATAAAGACAGTAAGTTCAGTGTTTGCAGTCGATAGAGTGGTAGTGGCTCGGTAGCCAACAGAATAAAAACAGTGAGTGGATGAGTTAGAGCAACGCGCGCGACCGCTTGGCAACGGTAATTACACCGCTTGTTCTTCTTGATTTACGGTTATTGCCATGGGGGCATTCCCGTTACCTAATAAGACCGTTTTACACCCAGGGACATGCGCCGTCGGTCCAGACCGGCCGCGGGCCGGACCGTTCATTCTCCTATTAGTGACGTATTTGTTTTTCCTTGACGATTACGTACTATTGAGTTAATATCACCTTTAATGTATGATGAAAAGAAAAGTAGTAGGTGGCCTAAGAGTAGCGTAGTACTATTAGTCCTGAACTAAGCAAACTGATCGATGGTTACAAAAGCTTAATAAAAATTAAGCTTTTGTAACAATTGATCTCGTTGCTCGTGGCTTTTCAACATTTAATTTCGATGTTAGTGTCATACTAACATATTCTTGTGAGTAATCCAATTGCATTACTTAATTAATGTGCTTACGAATTTCATACCTTGATGTCTAATTATCACCAGTCTGTAAAAAGTATACCCACCATGTCATAATTTGACAAGACCCAGCTTTTGGATCGCGGAAAATTTAAGTAGTTTTCGAGTGCACTTTGAAAAATGTCTTCGAGATAGCACGTCGTGAGGAGTTAAGATCTCGGCGGCGGTGGCAGCGCTGGCGGGCGTCGACAAGCAATGAAGACTGATGGCGTCTCAGGAAAGCAGTTATGGAGCGCGGTCGCAGTTTTAAAAAGCCATTACCCGCGGCAGTGCACCGCGTAGATTGCCACCCGCCCCGCCCACTGCGCTCATATTTCGGGACACTTTATAATCGCATCTCTCACGCTTCACTTGCTCGCTAACTTATGATGATTACGCTTTAAGAGCGACAAGGAAGATCGGTTCCATAATGAGATTGGACCGCCTCGCTAAAATTTTAGAGTGTCGTCGGCGGCTAATTACGTCTGAGTCTACGTCATTCGCACCAAGCCGCGTGTCTAGGCGGACGTAGTGCCGCCGGCAACCGCCCGACATGGCGCACTTAGCGTCTAAGATGACTGACTGCTAATGAAATTCTTACACCAGCTACACACTGAATTTACCACTGCTTCTATTAAATTTTAACACCTAAACTCTTATTTATTTTTCCTGGTACTATGAATAACGCAAAATTTAATTTTTACGTCACAAAACGCAAATCGATTGTCGTCGTGGAGAAAAACAAAATAGAACAAACATTAATTTGAATGTTGTGACAGTTGAAAGTTCTCGAACAAGGACAATGTTAGGAATTGCCTTCATTTGGGCATTACTAAAGTCATTTGAACATGGCGTAATAAATGAAAAAAGTTAGAATCAAAAGTTATTAACTTTATTTTCCATTCATTATGAAATAAAATAAGTATGAAAACTTTTCTCATATTCTTTCCATGCTATACCTTTTATTAATCTATATAATTAATAATGAATCGCCAAATGTGTTACCAAACAAGCTTTTAGAATGGCTCGAACAATTCGGCATTTTTTCTTTAAGGCAAAACCTCCGTTTTGCCTTAAAGAATTAAGGCAAAACTGAGGTTTTTATGAGGAGAAAAAAAGTGACAATTGCGATTGCAACATTTGACAATAATCAAAAACAAAACAAAGGCACGTTACGATTATCTTTGGTGTGTCTTCAAGTTGATTAAGCGGTATGAATATAAATCTATGACTGCCTAAAATACATTTCGAAGAAAGTGTTCAGTTTCCAATGCGTTTTCATCATTTGTTTTTTCTATTGGACTGTGACTTTTGACAGAACCTAGTCTGTCGACATAATATTTTTGTGACTCTCGTATTAAATTATTTGTTATTAATCTAGTAAACTCACTGGGGTGTAATTGAGGGGCGCGCGGCTGACTGCGATCGCCGGGAATCCAGAGGGCTGCGGGCTGGCGGCTTGCACATATCCAACGCTGTCGGCGGCTGAGCCATACACATCAAGCGCAGGTCCAGGAGAGCTCGCGGCAGGAAATCCAGCGCGTCCGCCAGCAGCGTGTGGTGACGCTGGCGGTCCGAATCCAGCCGCTGCTGCCTGGTAGTTGTTCATCACTGGGAAACACCACATTTAATATGGTAAAGTGCGTTACGTCATATCTTACCGAATAGGTTCTACTAGATAGCTTGTCCAGCAATCTCGCCTTTCATTATGCTATTTTATTCATAAGTTCGTGATAATTTCTAAAATTTGTGTTTTGATATAAGTAACTTATCGCCATTATGTTTTTACTGTTCCGTGTAGTGGAAAGCTTGACATTTTTTATTCATAACCTCGTACACGTGGATTATTTCAATAAATTTGACTGAAGCTATTAGGCATACTTAATGACAAACAAAAATTATACAGTCAAGCTATCCAATACTGGCCAAAGCTCAGTGGTTTGTTCCTGCCGTGATAGAAGCCAGATAGAGGTACACTGCATATATTTATTCAGCCAGAGAAAAAGCGAAACAACCTATCAGTTCCGTATTTGTTTCGTAACACGATCCTCAGGCTGTGACACCTTTCCATTATAAAAGGCGTAATCTTGACTCAGATATACTAGGTGAAACTCTGATTACATAAAAAATTGATTTAATTCAATATTTCGAAACTTACTATGAAATGCACATAATCGAAAATGTGAACTCGCAGGAAAGTAACTCAATTAATTTAAAAGGGGTTTTATTGTGGAACTCGGTCTAATTAGATCATTAAAATCAGTGACTTGGAAATACAAGAAAGCGTTTAAAAGTTAACTAGAAAGACAAAGACGATAAAGCAATAACACACAAGACGCAAGCCAATATTTGTGTAAATTTTATTATCAAAGTGATAACTACTCTCGGTTTTTAGTCATGTATGCAAATCTGTTTAGTAAGAGTAGGTAAAGATAGTTCTGTTGAAGACTATGACTGTAATGGACTGTATTACGCTCTATGAAATGATGACTAGTTTACAGTTGTGATGTTTTGTTTGCTGCCATTTTTGCATTTCAGATGTGCATAACTTTAGTATGTTCGGCGTCCTCACCTGAGAGCGCCTGCGCGAGCAGCGGTGTGTTGTTATTCGGAGTCAGTTGGCCGTTGGTCAGGTCAACTGCAAACATACACACGGTTCGCATTCGCCCTATTAACACGAGTGATAGCACACTCACACATTCATGACTGAACCATCGAAATTTTGAAACTCAAAAAGTCTCACCGCTGGTGCGGACACTACACCTCATCTTTTCTGAATTTAGCATATTGAACGGTAAAGTGACTATCGATATAATCCCAACTCAATATTAAAGTTTTCTAGCGCGGATAAAGTTGAAGCGCGTAAATGCATGAATAATTTAACCATTGGAGACAGATGCCGAGCTGACGAATGAGGACACAGGAGACTCTCCGGGCTCAGATTATGTCGGAAAAAATATCACGTATGTCACGTGCATTCAAATGAAAAAGAGAGCTCGAAGTTTCGCGGGCATAAATCACAGAAGGCGAAAAAACTTTTACAAAATATCCAGTAAATTATCCGACGTGAGTTCTCGGTGGCACGCCTCGGTCTGCTTATTGAATAGGGAGAAGCATTAGCATACGGCGCACGTCACAGCGTCTTGCGACTTGCGACGCGTAGTCGCCAATTGCACGACGTGGACAACAACCAGTACACGCCTTGTTCACAAGCCTATTTATTTAACTGTACATATACCATGGAATATATAATACTGTCTACCATAATCAAATTACAAAAACTTTTGATCCTTTCCAAAATAAAACCAAGGAACGCACCTTTTTTAAAGTATCATCACGAGCGCAATATAGCACATTTTAGAATTTTTTTGGCGTGTAGATTCATTATAAACGTAACTCGACATTTTAACAATAACTAGATTAATATTCGTTCCACGATTTTTGCTTGCTCATAGTGTCACCATTTACCCCTATTGGCTTGTACGACAAATTTTATTTTTGTCAGATGCGCGAGTTATGATTTAGTGTGAAAAATGAAGGTCCGCGGTCGCACCAGGTGATTACCGGCCTGCGAGTGACTTTGCGAAAAAAGTACAATATAAGTAATGGAGGATGAATGATAGATGGCGCCGCGAGCAGCCCACTCCCGCGCCCGTGCTCGCTGCGCCCATAGCGCCATACCGTTCTCTGGCCGCACTAAAATGCTGACACATTTTAATAACATTACTTTGCCACGTAAGAGGCTATTTATTTGAAGGCCCAGTGTAATAAATAAGAATTCGAGTGTTGGCGCAGACACGTCTCGAGATCATTAATATGTCGAACGGTCTTAGTTCATTCTTTTCCTATTATGGTAAAGCACTGACAGCTCCTTATAGTCGTTAGGTAATTTAGACGTGTATAAAAATGGTAACATGTAATTTGGCCTTTAACAAAGTAAGAGTATTTGACCAAAATCCTATCTATCTCTAATGTTGTTTTTTGTGATACTACAGGGGCACTACTAATACGTCATCTATCTGGAATAGATAAGTTCAACAATCGATACTTAGCCAAGACCTTGCTCTGAATTTTTAACTTTAGAGGAGAAAGGCACATTAAATACTTTTGATTATGAAGGGTTTTAAAGTATAAAATTATGCCTGTTGAGTTGAATGCCTGTAAGAGATTGCTATTAGCAATAAGGCCGCCCATTGTACATTTCCATCTGTAATATTTAACCAACTTTCTGTAATTGGTGTACAATAAAGCATATTCTATTCTATAAAATTATGATAATGGCTACAATCGTACATTACAGGTCGTACGTTTGAGCACAACAAACAGAATCAGAAACCAAACCTCAGATATTTCATATGTATATTTTTAAATGTAATGTATACTACATATATTGTGGTGAGAAATAAATTATTGTAATAATATTTATAATTTGAAGACTTAAATTCAGTTTACACGTGGATAGGAGAGGAGAGTTTTATATTTTAATACAGAGGTTATATTTATGTTATAGCTAATAGATAGTTTGTTAGATTTCTTGAAACACATTCTTGGAATTTGTGCAAAGAGGGTGAAGTGGAGGGAGGAATTTGTGTGTATAAGAAATGAGGTTTTTAATTAAAAAAAAAACATTCTTCGCTAACTATCCTTTTTCAAATATTACCCTAAGAGTAACTCATCTAAATAATCTTTAACGATTTACGTAGACGTTTATAAGTTGCGAGTTGAGTGTCTCTTACCTTGTCGAGAGCGGGGGAGCACACATTAATCTATAAATTCAGAGGCTGTCTTCCGAGAGCTATTCGAACTTTCATAATTGCGAAGTTCGGGCGAACTTAATAATTCTTCTTCAGAAGTAGGATGACGGTCGAACGAAATATTCACGGAGCGTAGTAGCGACGTAACACCCACCCTTGGATCCACTACATTACGCGGGACTTTTTATATGGCGCAATGTCCCGCCAACGAAAATCAGCTTCTCAGAATTTTAAAATATGAGTAGATAGGACAGTATTTTATCAGCTTTACTTTTATAAGTGGATAATAACACAGAGACTAAACGTTAAAATCAATATAATTTTGCTTAAATGCGAGTATTATTTAGGTTTTATGTCTATGTCATAAAGGAAACTGAAATGTAGATACTCTTATGCCTACGTGTTTGACAATAGTGAATGTGTATTTTATTTATTAAAGCCCAACCTCAATTTATAGACCCAAGTTTATTAAATAAGTTTGTGGTCTCTGATACAAATGAAAGAAAGAAAGGTCGCGGGAAGCCGTTGGATGCGGGTAGCACAGGACCAGTTGTTGTGAAGAGCCTTGGGGAGAGGGGGGACAGCTGAGATGATGATGATGATGTATGTAAAAATACGAGCAGTGCGCAACCAGAAACAGGATTTTCAAATTCCTCAACTATAAGATCGTAATACTTCAATTCCCACTTGGCGCGATTGAAATGTTTTATTTGAAAATTCACCGCAGGTCTTGCCTCGCGCACACGTTCACGGCACCCACAACGTATATTTAATAGGTGCCATCAATAACTCACCGTGAAGATGATACGCTCTTGCGGGTTTTCGATCGTTTAGTTGCTGGGATTTATCTCAATTGCAAATTAATCGAATTTCTATGCTGGTTGTGGATGACCGGCAGCGCCATAACAGCGGCACGCGCGCGCTGACGTCACGCTCTCCCATTTGTTATTCAAAGAAGAAACCACGAGTCTTTTCTGTAAATCTCGGGAGTCTTTGAATATACTTTTTACGGCGGCTCGTGGTATTGTTCGATAAAGTGTTTAATTTAACTCTGCCACGATAATAGTTAATAATTCCGTGGTTCAGTCATTAAATGGATTAGACAAATTAAACATGTAAAGCGATATAAGATAAGCAAAAAAGAAATTTAAGATGTTAAAATTCATGTAAAACACACATTATTAATCAGATAAATTTTAAATTGTCTCTCTACATAATACTATTTTTTTTCAATAATATAACTACCCATTTTTGTCAAATTATAATTTACCTACTTGCGAATTAATTTCGCTTACAACTACTAAATAAACTACAGCTTATATAATTTCAAAGTTTGTTCTATTCTATTAAAATCATCTTTTCTATTCTAATTGTTTATTTTAGAAATAGTTAACACATCAATTGAAACCATACTTTATATACTGTCTGCCTAAGGCATAAATAACATAAAAAGTATAATAATACTATTCTAGTTGTAAACGCTTAACACTAAACAACAGTAAAATACGTCTAAAAAAGTTTGCACCACCAATCACATTATGTTATTTTGCCACCAATTACTAATCTAGGCGCTTACGTAACTACCTTTTGTACAAAGAAAAAGCAATTTAATATGTCCAGCTTTCTGAAATGTTATCCTTTTCACAAAAAACTTTCATAGTTGACACTAAATTAATTTGAAGCTATTCAAACATATAGTAAGTAAGATAGATCGCCCATAATAATTTAAATATCTAGACTAGACTATCGTGAATTTAAAATTTTATTAGATGGCCAGAACATTCTACAGGGTTAGCCTACATGTTTTTCTGTTTTGTGACTATTTCTTAAATTCTAAACTATAGTCTATTTAACAATTTGTCTACAGTTTTTCTAATTTACTTCTTAGCGCCGAAAATACTATGAAATGTCTACCACACTTCAATTCTTACTTTAAAGTTTTTTTTTTAAATGTGACACACATTATTACACTATTCTAATGTCTCAACGATAGTGACCAAACTGCAATGTTCAAAATCAAAGTTACTCGCCCTAGAGATGCACCGGACGTCACGCTCCTTCTGCTCATCTGATGTTTTCTCGATCATCACAAACTGCTTTGTAGCACTTGAAGTGCGTGGGTATAAAGTCACAGAATTTGTATGCATGTAAATTCTTTATCCCCGTTATGAGCAATTTAGACTATGTACGAAATCGTCGGTAAATGTGACATTGACTATAGGGCCGTTAAAGCGGTAGGACAATGAACGCGCAACGTCCTCCATGCAGGGGAGAAAGGAATTACTATGCGTACTCTGGACACATTGCGCCGGATTTGTGCGCTCAATACAATTCAAACTAGAAGAGATTAGTATGCTAATAGTGGCCGTTATGGACTCACGGATACACATACCCTAAATTCTGTTAAATTCTACAATAAAAATTTATAGACAATGGAGCTCGCTAGAATAGCGCATTTATAGTAAAAATCTATTGGCATCCATAAAACAAAATCTATTTAAATTAAAGAAGATAAATAAAATTTCTGACCCATCCAAATACTGCACTCGTAATGCTAAATCAGCTTTGAACAGCTGAACGCTAAGAAGGTACACTCTATCAGCTAGTATTTACATGAGTATCTAAGAAGTGCTGTAAGGTTAGTGCGGAATAAGGTCGCGTTCACTCATACCTAAGCGACAAGCACTAAACGTAGCAGTTACTAACACAATTAACGGTCAAATATCTTAAATTACAAATGTAGTTGGCACTGTACGCGACGCGCGCCCGCTCGCCGCTTCCCCACCTAATTATTTGGATTCGAACCGACGCCGCGACGTTTGTGTGACCCTTCAAAGAATTTTGTTTCAAGGCGCTAATTTGTCGTGATGTCGTTTTCTTGATTTTGTTTTTGCCTTTGTATCTCGAACGGACTGTTATATTAACTCGACGTCGTTGGATGACACGGTAACATCAAAACGAGTTTCATCGGAGTTTTAAAAGTTAATAAATTTGAAAAACCCTGTTCAAAACGTAAGTGAGTATTGAGCTATGCAAAATAGTTGTGTGGGTGTGTCTGGTTGGCGGGTTGCATTCCGAGGGCGAGCGTGTTGAATGTCCGGAATGTTGGCGATGCAGCGGGCGGGCCGCGGTCGCGAGGCCTGTACGGAGCCAGAGAACCACATCTCTGATGCCTGACCCACACTCATGTACTCGCTTACCAGCTTGTTGTGCAGGGCTGCGGCGCGGGCACCACACTGCATGTGCCGCATTGGATGAGTCAGAAAAACGAAATGCCAACGTTAAAATAAATTTGTATGGAGACGTTGAGGCAAAGTTCACTCCCAGTGAGGCATAATCAAAGTTTGCCGCACGCTAGCCAACTCCACGGTAACACACTATCTCTTCCAGTTTATTTTCGTCGCAATCGATATGTGAACGAATAGTAAAAAAGTGAGGCACTGATCGACCTCGATTTATAAGCGATCAATTGGATAATAAACGATAAAACGTTTTGCTTATACAACGGCAATTTCCTTTATTTTAAAATATAGCGGCTTCACAATATCATAAACTTACGAATAATGGTATAAGACGATATGTAAGAACAGCGATAAGAACAGTACTATTAACTTATGATTATAAACTAGACTTAATTATTATAAAGAATTTGACATATGGATTACATATTAAAATTATGAAGATATTTGTGCATTATGAACGACACCTAATTATAATAATTTACGTATTTTTATTTAAATATATTGGAATAACTTCCTGAGGGATACCGCAACTCAGTGGTTATATATATTAGAATATTATAACTGTTTACATCTGAGTATCATATCGTGCTATATGGGCAAACCTAGTCGGGCGATTTTTACACGCATCTGCGAAATCGGGCCTAACTCATAGAAAAACAAAAGTTTTGCGACATTGCATTCCTTGCTTTGTTTGAGATTCGAGAGGGAAAGCGTAGGGCGTAAGACCAAAGAGCTTTTCGCTTGAGTAAAGATTTATTTATGTTCATAAGAAATTCCGGGAGCCGTTAACGGGTGTTCCGGGTAAGAGAGTGGGTTTATCGTCTTGGAGGGCGTAGAGCGGGGACGTCGCGGTGCTCACGAGCTCTGCCCGAGCACGCCCGCGTTTACGTACTCCGCACCAACCAACAGACGACTTTCCGGCGGTATTACTCCCACTACACCTGCGGCAACAAAATAAAAAAGCTACAAAGCCGGCAACGAAACTACCCAGGGTTCCGTCAACAAAATCGCGCTTAATTAAAAATAACCAACACTGACAAAGAAACGTTACACGGAACCCTGATAAGAACTCATATTCAAATTTAAAAATTAACATGAAGGGGAAAACAAAAGATATAAAAATATCATTACGGCGAAGAGTAAAGGAACATCGCCCGGAGCTTCACTCATCGAATCTTTATGGGGAAACTTCGAATTGATAGTTTCCTGTTTGTTGTTTTCGGGCTATTTAAAATTGTTTGCACGCACGGAATGATGGACTGGCTTTATTAATGTTCCAGGGCAGGAGCAGGCTGTTTACACGCACAGCCGGCGCTAGTTCCGCCTCCGAGCGGTGGGCCTGGGCTATTAAGTGTTATACTCGTATGTATGTACGTATTGATTCCATCATCAAAAACGGCATGAACAGATAATTATTCACTCAATATCAAATTCGATATTAGTATATTTAAACACGCAATGGATTACATAAAGGTCAATATCCATTCCCGAACACAAATGACTAATATGAAGCGAAGTTACTCGAAGATATTGGATATAATTTTGGATAATTATTTGGTCAAACGTTTAGGATACACTTCATGACGCGATGTGATATATATATATATATATATAAATATTGCAAGCTTATGTTACACATGACTAGTTTAGAGGATGGCGATAAGGACGGTCGCACACATAGCGATGTGTATGAACATTAACTTATATTTACGTAATAATTTCGATAAAATACCTTACTTTTGAGAAATTATTAGTGCGAGGTGTAATAATAAAGCAATTTTTATTGCTATTTAGTTCGATGTCTCTTTAGATCGGTCTGGTTACGTAGACTCCAGTGTTCGCACCTTTATGTAAATCGCCTGAATCGCTGTATTCATAATAACGATAGGTAACTCGAAGAAGGTAGCGTAAAATAGATGCATCCAAAAATATTATACAACAACAACAATAAATATTAGTATCATTATCTTTATCATTTAAGCAGTGTAAATATTTAAAATATAATTGAGAAATAACGTTCAAATTAAAACACATACATACATATATTATAATTTAATTATAGCGAATATTCAATAAAGTATTAAAATAACACTTTTCAAGCTCGATGTTTTATTTATTTTATATAATAAGGAATAAATCATATACATGAATCTAAACTAATTCTAAACCTTGAAAAGCTATGCAAATGAAGTTCTAGATGTCGGTTAGTATTCATCCTCTAAACTTAGTAGTCTTTCAAATTATCTGTTCTACATTCCTTATCTACGTTTTTATTAATTAATTTACTCTTATATTTAATAAACATACTATTTATTATGTAGACTGACCACAACGCTAGAAGAAGAACGGCACTTATTCAATTATTCATTGTTTTTGTAAAATAAACATTAAATGAAAACAATATAATTTTCTTAAACGTTAATAATAAATAAATACTCGTATACTTATATACCTAACCGATTTTTTTATTTCACTACAATGCAGTATAAGTTCTACTATTTATGTATTTATTTCAGTTTTTAGGTATCCTTTTACTTATCATTAATAACATTCTGCCTGCTATAGATGACTTTAATTAAAGTTAAGCGTTATGTTCAGTCCATACCTATGTCCTATAGAAATTCAAAAACTACACACTACCGCATGCTATGTAGAGGATATTGATATATGATAACTGACGCTAAAAAATTTAGATTATATCTATTTGCCGCTATTATTGTTTATACCTAATAAGATTGAGAGGAAAACGTTGAAACATCTATACGAGTCTAATTTTCTATCATCGATAGTACCTTCTATAATTTAACTCCAGACTACGATTTTCAATAAATATGTAAATTAGATTATGATCTTAATTGTTTCAGCTTGTAGGGTTTAAATGCTTTGATTATCTTGGCTATCACGATACTTGTAATTGAGTTTTAAAAGGAGATTAATACCTTTTAGTCGAACGTTTCGCATCTGTCACTAAGTTTATCATAGTAAATGAAAAAAAATATCTTATTATTCGCTACTATAGCGAAACTAGGGGTAAACTATGCCCTAGAGGCTTCATCTTTTAGTAAAACGTACATTTACTGTGGTTATTTACCGGAATATGAAAATAAATACTCCCAATAGAAAAATGTTCGCATAAGACGCCGCAGTGTACAGCGCTACAAATTATTTGACGTTAATTCCGTCCCATTAGAGAGTAACAAAGTTGTTTATACGTTTGAAAACTGTCTTCGTTGGAGTCGTACGTGCAGTCGTTCCCCAAGTTCGAGGAAACGACTAGTTCATATTAAAGGCGTTCGACGAAGTTGTGGATCGCAGCGACGCGCTACTTTGTCACAGCATCTGCTGCATCAAAGGACGTAACCGCATTTTACTTTATAATAGAATTAAAACAAGGGCGAGTGGAGCGATGCCTGCCTATGCATTTTAGTCATATTAACATTCATATCGTAAAATTTAATTAACTGGATCCTGACGGGATATTCGCGGGTTTGATCATTTATTTAAGTATTAACGATATTCCTACATGTCATTACTAATAAGCCGGTGGCGACGTCGACTAAGGAATGCTAATAGACGAAAGAGGCAGACAAGAAATGTGTAATTGCCCCTACGCCGAGGCGATACGCACACTATACGCACGTCCTAAACAAAAAATTTAGTCTTTGTTTACTGTGATAACTAAAAATAAGTGCCACATGCACTTACATTTTTCGAGAATTACAAGAAATCACCATTTAAATCATATAGACATACACTTTTAACTTTATTTATGTATATATAAATAAACATACTTTTACGTGTATTTATGTATGTATATAGGTACTATGTAAAACATCACTTGAACAAAACCTCACTCCTAGTTTCAATATTACAGAGTTCTCAAAGATGTTATGTAGAGTCCAATCAGATTTACTCGCGTTATTTTTGCTCGTCTTTGAATTTTAAGACCTGTGCTTAAATTAAAACATTTCATGTCGTACTTTCCACCTAATGGAGAAAAAGATAAAAACTAAACTAAGCTATTGATGAGCCGAGCAAGCTCAAACAAGGGGTATTGACAAATAGCTAGAAGAGTATTTGTACAGCTGCGTTCCATGGCTCACCTAGAGTAGCCCACACCCGCACCCGCTCCGCAGGATTCGTTCTACTCAATCAAGTGTTATTTCTGTATAGAGTAAACTAATCTCCAAAGAATAATAAGAACAGCATAAAAATTAGCATTCTGGTCATTCGACGGGATCGACTGGAAGCCCGTGGACTACTTTTAATTAGTGGGAATTCTTTTTCGTCCGTCCCGAGATTTACATAGAAGTCGCCACAAAAAGGACGTCACTTTTTCAGTACTTTTGTTTGAATCTGTTTAAATCTCTTTTAAAAGCTTTTGCTGTTAATGAGGAGCGGGCGATGCTAAGATACTAGTAGCGGAGCTGAAGGGCGGGAGGGCATGACCTCCCCTTGATGTCGGCTGTAGCGAATGCGAACGTGGTATTTGCGCTAGAGTTTGTTTGCTCAACGCGTAGCATTTGAGAATCGTTAGGGCGAATCGTCTATAAACATGAAGCGAGGCGCTCGCAATTGGCCGGATTGTCTCGACAAAATTCTGGAGATAACAATAAATAGCATTTCTCAAAACATGGACGTTTTGTAATTGACGGCGTGGCAGATTTATCTAGATGGTTCAGTCATTGTTAGGGGTGTTAACTTGTTAGTAAAGTTGTTAGTGAGAGTTCACACGAACTTTTGCCTCAGCGAGTTAATTCGAGTGGGAAGTTAGGACATAGTCACCACGGTAGATTACGTAAATTAGCGTATGCGCAGTTAAGTTGTAAATGAGAAGTATGTTAGTTGTAAGCGGATCGGTGCCGACTGCGAGAGAAACGTTAGCGGTTAGTGGAATGCATTGTCGGGGCGCGAGTTCACAGATGCATGGCGTGTACATTGTAAACCCCGCTGAGCTCTAGCGGGTGGTATGGCAGCAGTGTCGCCAAGTGGTGGTAGTGATTGCCGGACAGTTGGTGGTGCAAGCTCGCCAGGGGATTACCTGCAGGGTATGGCAGCCCGAAGCTAGGATAGCCCGAATAGCTACGTCCTGCCGCGTAGGCGGCATATGCTGCGGGAAACCCTGTATAACAAACAATCACATGTTATTATAACATCGCCACTGTGACCAGCAGGATGACAAGCGGAGGATAATCGTCGAATTGCATGCTTTCATTAAAAGATATGATGTTTTAAACGTTGATTTTTAAATAATGCGTCGCTGATTGTGATTTATGGGCCGATATAAACATGTGTCCGGGTGGCCCAATTCTAAAATAGAGCCGTGACATAAAAGATAGGCGAGTATATTGCACACGTTTAGTGCGACATTGTTTTGGACAATGTCCAGCGGATGATATTTTGTAAACATTGTTTAATGTAGCACAGGAGAAGTATACTAACGACTGCTTCATGCCGTAACAGATATCTAGTGAGTTTAATTAACAGAATTACTTTAATAACAAAAATCTACTCTATGTCAATACACGTCATAATTGCTAATGTGAAACAAATAGTACTGAGGACGCTTTAGCGCGTGACGTATACTATGAGTTTCGCTAAGAGAATGGAGTCCGTTAAATGTAAAATGAATGATGGCCGGAGCGTCGACGTCGGCTGATATGATTACTATACCGGATCGTTTATCATATTATTGCCAATCAAAATAGTGTATCTGTCAGGCGACGCGATCCATCACTCGGCAGATGGAGGGACCGAAAGCGTGACGCGACTACCCATTGATTCAATCTACACCGACAACCAACACTTTAAATGGATTACTAAGTTAATTAATTATTGCCATGATCCGTTTTGGCATGTACCTCCGATTAGTACTTCAATGGTCCGCTTACGAACGTTATTATATTATAGGTATACAAAGATAGGTAGGTACGTTTCATAGAGTGAGAAATGGTCTGGTAGATGCAGGGAATAGCAGATATGAAGTGACTTTTGTAAATAAAATGAGAATCAACTTACCGTCAGGAAGCGCCCCCAATGACCACATGAAATCTAGAAATGTAAAAACATTTACATAAATCGATCGATCCTTACACCTTACATTTATATATGTGTGTGTATTTGTTATATTATTAATTATATAGATTTGTGAAAATTATTGTGCCTTGAGACACTATTTTGCTTGGCGAAGAATTTAGAGCTTACATATTACTGAGTATATGGTGAAATATTATAATGTCTATATCTAATTTATATTTATATAAAGAGCATTCAACATTTCTAAATGACAGTCTACTTTCAAACATTTTCTAAAGTGGCTCCAAATAATGGGGTATGTTAGTAATCTTGATCATCATAGAAGATGATTCTCTGCATTGACAATGTTAATCTATTCTACACATTGTTAGTCTAAAACTAAACATGTTAAACAAAACAGACATTTTTAAATATTTTAGAAATGATATTTATTAATCTAAATGCTACCAAAAATTACCTACTTATTAAGTTAATAAGTACAATTAATACTATTAGTTTACGAGAGCTAAGTTCCAGAATACAAATATGTATCGGGAGAATCAAAATAGATCCCACTGTTAAATAACGTAACAGTTAATTATGAAGAATCAGAAAATACAACTAAAATATAAACTAATAGTGAACATAGTTTAGTCGTATTTGGCATTGCATAATAATATGTATAAATAAATATGTATAAGGATTTAAATTAAATAAATATACCTAAGTTTATCATTATAGCTATGGACACACAATAATTAACTGGTAATTTGAATGTACCTAATTTAAACTTTTTTACAAAACAATCAAAAATAAATAAAAAGGCTAATGATCTCCAAAACGGAATAATAGACATCCACAGACAATAGGTACCTCTTTTCTTCCACTGACAACATTTTTGGCAAAGCCGACATCAAGCTGTAAAGCTATTCATGGTAAAGAGCTAAAGATTTAATATATATAATTTATGAAAATATGTCAAACAATATCACCAAATCTGTAATTCATGACAAAGCTATTCTCTGTCTCTAAGTTTAGTTACTTCATGGATGGATATATAGTAAAACTGGCAAGAGTCACCGGGACCTCGTAGTCCGCATTCAATATTTCATGATAAATAACTACTCAGAAATCAGGAAATTACCAGGCTCTATAGTAACTAACCACTATCGTAACCCAAATCGAATGAAGCACCTACTACCTGGTAGAAGAATATTGCTCTCTATCAACCCTACATAAAATTGTTCCATTTTCTGTTTCTACTACTCCTCAATAAGTATGAATATTTATATAAGTTATTATATAAGAACTGTTTCTATTGTTTTTCTAATTTATTGTGGTACACTTTTCGAAAATCTGCTATCTAACTGATTCTCTAATGGCAATTACTAAAAATAAGACACTTTTGATATTATCAGTTTCCTTAATGTATATTTAAAATGGTCACTTTGGCTTTGCAGGGGAGAAGAGAAAAGGAATGTAAGAAAGAGCTAGGAATGGGCAGGGAAGCCAACACAGCGTTGAGAGGAATGCAATAAAAAATATTGAAAAATTTGGTTAAATGAAAAGCCCTGGTGGGGTTAGAACGGGTGATGTGGATGTTGCTGGAAGAGAATTGCGGATCAGAGAGGCAAAGGAGTGGGCAATGTAGTATGAGTCAGAGGGGAGTAGAGGGTTTGGAGGTCGAGTGCGTGGGCACCGAGGAGCTCAGAGACAGAGTACGTGAGAGGGGGAATAGCAAGGGGCGCGAGCGCAGGGCGCGGGGGGCGCGGGGTGGGTCGAAGTGCGGCTAGAGCGCGCCGGTAGGCAGCCGCGTGCGCAGCGGGGGTGGCGCCCGCGCCCGCGCTCGCGCCCACCAGCAGCTGCGCCGGCGCGTGGACGGGATAGGGCGCGTACCGGACTCCGGCGCCGGTGGCCACGCCGCTACCTAGCAACTCACCGTACGCGCCGCGTCCGGCGGCTCTCGTCTTTGCCAGGTTCGCCGGGAGCATGACTTCTTTGGGTTGCGCTTTTTTGCATTCCACCTAAAACAAATAAAACTTTATTTAGAAAATAAATCATAAAAGAATAAAATATTAAATATTATGTTAACATAATTTTGAAGCAAAATAATGTTAACATAATATTTAATTCTGTGACAACGGTACAAGAGTTTCTGTTCATATTTTTGTTGCACAATAGGGTATATTTATTGTAAAAATTTACATAAATACATGTGGAAAAGTAAAAAGGAGTGCTGTTTATCTCTTCGATATCTGATCTAAATATCGATACTTAATTATCAGCATTCAATCCGAAGGACATGTAATTGCATACGCCTTAACTCATAGTCTGGATTTGTAAGTCTAACAAAATAAAATCTTACTGTATGAACAAAGAACATAATTGAACACAATTAAATGCTTTATCTTTTAGAAACCCTTTAGTTGTTAATTATATTAATAACAAATCCAATGATAATAAAATGTGCAGAGTAAACAAAAAATTAGGGTAAGTAATTAATTTAGAGGATATTATATCAAGAACTTCAATTGCAGTAAGAAAAACAAAAGTGTCTAATTTAAATTATCATAGTCTATATTCAGTATTCTTAAGAATAACCGTAGTCAGCAGAATAAACCAAATATCTTCAAGATCGAATGACTCGCAAAATTATGGAAGAAAGGGGGCGATGAAATCGGTCGACAATCCGTTATGCTTCACGGTTCGAGTAACAAATTGAATTTTAATTTGCTTTACCAAGTCAAGAGCTTATCATTGAATACTTATTATACAACACGACAAATTTTACGAGGTCCAATGTAATTATTCGCTATCATTATGTCGCATCTTACAACTTGTTTGGTTACGGAACCTGAGAAGAAACCTGTTGATACCGAAAAGTTAAAAATAAACACTTTTCCTGGTAGGTAACTAGATTAAGAAATAAAAAATAACTGACAATATTAAGCGTAGCGATAAATAACAAAAGCATCAACTCAATCCCCACGCCCAGCCGGGGACTACGAAAACCAAAGTAAATTAATGTGCCTCATAATTAAACAGTACTTTTAATCGATCCATTAAGTAATTTTAACGAACGATATGGCTCTCTTCAATGCTTGTATCTTCCTCCCCTACGGAGGAGGGTAGGAGCAAGTATAAATTACCCAATCTACGCTAACCTAAACCTCTAGCAATAGAATTTCCGCTACAGCGCTCCAACATTACAGAAAAGTATTTAGGCTTAAATTAATGTTGGTTGAATAAATAGGTCTAGGATCATTCGTTATTTAGATAAGGTTAAAAACTATGAGGTAAGAACAGATCGGAACAGTTACATTTTAAACAGTCGTGCATAATCGCAATGGCCCTTTTGGCGCGCGGGCGGTACACACAGACTCATGTCCACATTTGTCACGAGGCCGTCACAAGCCGACAAATGAAGGCTTTGCCACGGCGTTGGCGCACTTTGTGCACTTTGCACAACTTTCCGCGTCGACATGGAACTACGTGCCTTTGCATTAACGCGGGGAAGTGAGTGAGTGCGGCTTCACAACGCTAAGTGTCTTTCCACCAAGTTTTATGTCTAGATAAGGCTGAATAATCAACACGTAATACTAAAGTTGGAGATTGCGATATGATACGTAATAAAGCATGATCTCAACATTGGAGGAAAGAAAAAAGAGTTGTTTTTTTTTTTAAACCTAGGTTGGTAAAATTATATCGCCGACCCATCAATATAAAATGCTAACAGCAGAAACACAATTTTTCACGTAAAATATAAAAACACGTGACTTACTAAAAAATAGATTTAGAGAGATAAAAAACCATCGATAGCTAATGTTTTGACTTTTGTGCTGTTTCATAACAGGTTTTCGGAATTGAAAATATTTCGAATTTAAAAGATACCATAAATTTGTTGATGGTTTAATTTACAATAACACTTAGCATTTTATCTTATATCTAACCTAACTCTATGTTTTTCACAAGTCTGCGAGTATTGCACACTGTTTTACAATGATGTTCAACAAATAATAGATACTAAATTAACCGAAAACAATATCACTTAAACTTCTATTCTAGTTAATACTGAAAATACATTGAACGGTAATAGAATCTTGAACTTATATTCCGAGGCTTGAAATTAAACATTGTTTTGGTAATCTACTTTTAGTTTATTGGAATCGCCCAGCAAAATACCATCGTACTTATTTTGCCGACTTGTCTTCCGAAAATATTAAATTTAATATATTGTCGTATCAGAAATAAGAAACTATTTCACTAATTATTATTTTTTCAAGAAGTCTGCCTGAGTGAATGAAAAAGTAACGAATAAGATTGCAGTATTCTATAATTTTGTGAGTAATTTTATTTATTTATACATCTTTATTTTGCACCGCTACAGTATATATTTTGTACAGACATGAGACATAATCATCAGCCTTTAGTAGTCCACTGCTGGACATAGGCCTCTCCTTAGCTTTGTGAATAATAGCTGGAAATTTACGAAAAAAGTTAATTAGATGTATTATTCGGCACCATAGATTTTGAATGTGGAATAACACTAAAATATGGTCATATTTGGTATCATTTTATTCTCCGGGGATGGCAATATGGTACTTGCATTCTAATATAACTTTAATATTACTAATAAAGTAACGTAAATATAGTAGCCGTCGGTGCTGAAATTTTAGTACAGTAAATATTTTTGGTCATCTGCGACATAAAAATAGTTAGTGTTGCTAATGTCGCCATTTGTCAAGAGCGATAAAGCTTTACAAATGAACAGGCGCCGCCGAGCAGTATCTGCCAGAGTCGCGACTACCCTCTGTTTGTTCGGCAACACGCAACCAGGGGACATGCCAGATAAATGCCAGCCTAACTTAAAACTGAGATAGGAAACATCGTTTGTTATACTGTCACATGCACCTCGGTGTAACACGGTCTATCTAATTGAATCGAGAAAGAGAGACGAGACATGCAAACACAATCTGTTCAGTGTAATCAGCAGCGGAAAATGATTCCGTTTGAAATCTACCTACAATAATACGAACAGCCATCAAGAAAATTCAGCGAGGGGATCCGACGTTAATTGATGTCGCGTCACTGGCGAGCGGAGTGGGAAACAAAAGCTCACAAACAATTCGCATCGGAGTTCGCAATCCCGATCAAGCGTTCGAGATCGCGACGCAGTTTAATGACACGAAAAATAACAAAGGTAAATTGTATTTAGCCCCTGCTAGGTAGGCACACCCTCCCGCCGATATATATCGATCCAAGCCTGATCGAGTAGTATTCGACGCCGATGCGAAGATCTCGGTTTAACCGAGCGGACTTAAGATCTGCTCCAGTGCTCCCAGGCTTAACGCTGTACGACTTAAGGCAACTCACGGAAACATGCTCCTAATGCCGTCGATGTATGAGGAATTTAATTGTTTCGCGAGAAAACACCGCATTTTATGCTCCACTACTTCAGCTGAATATTCGCACGTAAACTTGAATTAATACGAATGTGAAAGCAGTCATTAAATTTTCGCTCGATTGATTTTGAGTGAAAACCTTTTAAGGTAAAACAGTAATGTCAATAAATTCAGCGAAGAAGAATCATGACTACCTTTTAAGAATATTGAGTTCGAGTTTCATCTAAAGGTACGGAGTATTGCAAATTGATAATTTTCAAAGTTTGTAACATTTGATTATATTTTTTCTGTATTGTAGTAAAAGATTTGTGAACCTCTAAATTATTTCTATTAAAAATTATAAACTTAAACTGAGTGTTAGGACGTTGTAATATAGTTTAGACTTAACAAGTAGAAATTTAATTTTTCGTCTAACCACGGGGCTTATACGATAATATGAGCACCTGTTAAATATAGTTTAGTACAAACACGGTTGGACTAGGCTACATTTTGTTGAAAGTAATATACATAGAGGAAGGATGATATGCGAAAAACGCAGCGAATGTAGCTCGTTTCTTTTTGCCAAAGATGCGGTTCTAAACAAAAACGCCCAAATAACACATTTTGTAAACAAAAACATTTTGTAACGAAAAAAACGATTAAGCGAGAGTAGATTAATGTTCGTTTGATACAAGACGATTTTCGTATTACATTCGAGCCTAAAGTAGGATACATAAAAAGTCAAGAAAGTACTAAGTAAGCAACTTGGCTGCAGAGTAATGCGGTGCGGGCGTAGCGTACGAACATACGTGAGAGATAAACAGAGACGGCGGGGGAATGAGGTTCAAGGGGGACGAGGGCTGAGCTCGCTAGATAAGTTTATCAGGGAAACCTCTCGCCTTCGTATTGACAGAGCGTCGCAAGCTTGGCCCTGATTGCCGCTAAGCGGAAGCCGGAGCGTGGGAACCGGAGGCTAGGTAAGAGCTTCAGAATTACATATTTACCGAGATAAAATAGTAAGAGAATGTTCTTGTGTATCTAACTCAATGAAAAGAGAACCCTAAAAATTCAGATCAAATATACTTTATTGGTATTTAAAGGAACCACGTTACGTTAGTTCCAAAATATGAATGTATGTTAGTACCTATTCTAGGAAAGTAGAAATTTTAAAATAAAAAGAAAAATCTTTCAATGTTGCATAAAGGAGATGAGTCACAAATCTTGCGCTCAACAGGTCACGGATAATGAAATACTCTGCCGCACCCCGGGAGCTCTTTCCATATTTACGTAACTGTTGTTCGAAGAAATAAGATAAGCGCAAGTCGACGTCTACCGTCGAATTTCGGCACGATTACTTAAAGTGTTGGAGTGTTTACTGAGAGGGTGAAGAGGTGGAGAGGGCCGCACCTTGATGGGCCATAAGGCGCGAAATTCAAATCAGATATAAACGATCAAGTTGTCGCGTCGCCGACGATAAGCGGTAACGTTACCTGCAGCGCTAACCCATCCCAACCGCCCGGCGGTGCTCTGCCAGTCAGGGTATTGCACATATTTATAACGAAACCGATAAAAATACATTCAAAAGTTGTAACGTCACATTTTAGACCGGATCAAATATCATATGTATATATTTTTAGGTTATC